TGTCCGCCTATGTCCGTCTATGTCCGCCTATGTCCGCCTATGTCCGCCTATGTCCTGTCCTTTTTGGATTCTATGAGACAAGCGGACATAGACGGACGTGACACCCCCCCCCCCCCCCCATATTTTTGTATACATTAACCGACCTCTCTCTGATGTTTACATCTAGGGCTATTTTAGCAACCTTTTTGTACAATGTACATGATATCTAACTCTCCTAGTCGTTTTTTATATGTTCTTGACCAGATGGTGTCTAAGTAGTCAAAATGTGGCAACATAAGTGCATTAGCAAACATCTTCCTGAACTTAAGAGGGAGAAGTTTTTTTGATCTATACATAGCACCAATTCTTTTGGATATCTTTTTCTTAATGTTATCAATATGTTCATTAAATTTCAATCTGCTGTCAACTATAAGTCCAAGGTACTTATGGGATTTAGTTTCACAGATTACCAAAGTAAGGTCATCACAAATTTCAACAAGGATGGCATCAAGGTTAGGCTTAGAGTCAAGGATCATTAGTTTTGTTTTTTCATTATTCAGGGATAGTTTATTAGCCTGAAGCCATCTGATAACTAATTTCAACTCTTGTTTGATGTTACCATAGTTTCCTCTAGATATATTGTCAAAATATAATGCACCGACATCAGCAAATAGATAAGGTTTAGAAAATAGGCATGCATTAGGCAGGTCATTGATAAAAATGCTGAATAGAATTGGTCCTAATATACTTCCTTGAGGCACTCCAGAGTTCAATGAATGTAAACTGCTTATCCTACTCCCAACTCTAGTTTGCTGTAATCTATCTGTGAGGAAGCTCCTAAACCAGCTCAATGCAGTATCTTTTATTCCATAATGCTTCAGCTTTTGAATGAGAATATCATGGTTAACAGTATCAAATGCCTTTCTGATGTCCAGGAAGATAATTGCAGGATGCTTGGCACTGTTCTTAGCAGTAAATATACGATCAAACAGATCTAACATGAGATAAGGTGTAGAGTGATCTTTACGGAAACCATATTGATGCTCTGAAAGTATTCCCTTTTCATCAAGATATTGAGTCAGTTGGGAGTTCAAAATTCGATGCACTTTCCAAGAATCGGTAAAATTGAGATTGGTCGATAATTAATAGGATTCTCAGTATCACCATCCTTATGGATTGGGGTGACTTTTGCAACCTTGCAGCTGTTTGGCATGATGCCACTGGATAAACTCAAATTAACAAGATGTGTTAATGGAGCAATAAATGCAGGTAAAATTTGTCTAAACACTCTCAATGGTATATGATCATTATAGTGGATTTGCTACAAGGGATACTTGCCACATAGTCTAAGATATTGGACTCAGTTATTTCAGTAAAGCTATTCAAGCTGGTCTCGTTGTCAATCTGCTCATTTTGTAGATAAGATAGAAATTCATTTTCATTTTCCAGCTGCACTTCTGCTTGGATCTTTGGACCTATTTCAGCAAAATATTTATTGGTGGTTTCAGCATCAAGATTGTTATTGATATTGTTAGCTTTAACAGGCAGATTTGATGCTGTCTTTATCGTTTTCCATACACCCTTTAGATCATTCATGGCACACTTGGCTTTCAGTTCTGTTGCTAAGTTAGTCTTCCTATTAATTCTAGAGACAAATAGGTTGAATAGTTTCTCTGCCGTTTATATGCCATCCATAATGAGTCACATTTATTACAGTGTATAAGACCATTTGGATGTATACGTCTGTTCTTGTTGTGTGTTAAAAATTTACGGTAAAGTTTCCCTTTCAACTTCTTACTTTCTAAAAATTCTGGAGATGGCTTATGGATGTAATCACTATGGCACTTAATTTGTTTAATTGGACAGAAGTGATCATAGTAGTGATCAATATGTTCGTTTAAACCATCAACTGCATCATTCAGACTAGTTGAATCTATTATTGGTCTATAATCACAAGTTTCCAAAAATTCTTTAAGAGCAGTAACATTCATTTTGCTGTGATCTCTTATTAGTAACTTCTTGAATTTTGAGGCCTTATGCACATTGAAATCGACAATGAACTTTACGACCTGATGATCTCCTATACAATCATCAAGAACTTTGCAGTCAAGAAACTTGGAGTAAGTGTTTGTTATGACAACATCGATTGTGGTCTTTGTGATTCTGTTTCCTAGTTTAGCAATGCGGGTAATATCTTGAACTACCTGTACCATTCCAAACATTTTCATTGTAATGTCTAATTTCTTATAGTTCATACTGCTGATGTTGTTTTGGTCTATATTTACATCACCCAGCCAAATAACATTCTTACTTCCTATACTCATCATGCAGTCTGTCATATAATCTAAAAATTTGTCAAGAGGACTAAACAACTCAGATCTGTAGAAACAGCAGATGAAAATATTGCAATCTGTAAGATGGATCCAAATAGCCTCGATTTGGTCATATTGCAAAACTAAGTTTAGTTGAATCATTTTAAACTTTATGTGCTCACTGATGAGAATGCCACATCCCCCATGACCATTGTCGTTAGGACGGTCTTTGCGGATAAAAGTAAAATTCTTGGGTAGGTTTAGACTGGCTGAGTCAATATCCGACTTAAGATTTGTTTCATTCAGGCATAAAACATCTAATTTCTCTTTCCAGATTAGATCTTGGATTTCAAGACATTTTGGCATACCTGTTAGTCCTCCCTGCATGTTGCAATGTCCCACTGCAAGCTTTTTGGCATGGTATGAAACTGTGATTTTACTAATGCACGGGTTAATGCAAGAACTGCTGTGAGAGCATGAAAATTTTCCAATTTATGCTGCTATAAACTTGTCAGAATAAGATAAATTGCAGAACTGGCAAATTTGTATGAGATAATAACAAAACTTTCTAAAACTTCAATAAACATGAGGAACAATGTGTAATTATCCCTTATCTAGATGAAATAAATGTTAACAATCTTTCTGAAAATTCAAACTTGCTTATGGGCCCAATACTTCAGAAATTTAGCAAGTCGAATAACACCGCTTGTATTGAGGTGACAGATATCAGATATTTTTGCAGATGGTCTGGCAAAATAAAATTCTTTCCTGAATCCACTTCTATTATAGTTAAATAAATTATGGGTGCTAATGTAATTAAAACAAGAATCTTTGCTACACATATCCTTAATAACCTTATTCAGCTCTGCCACAACATCATTGCGGCCTTTTGTACTCCTGGGAAGAATATTGAGAACATTAATTATTGCATTCGGATACACTGACTTGAGATAATTTAAGAGATTACTTAAGTCACCCGCTGCATCCTTCAGTGACTTTGAGCCAAAATAGACTGTGTTCACATTATTAGTTCCTGTCATAATATAAATAATAGATGGGGATGGAACAGAGTGTAGGTCAGTTTTTAGTTTATTTAACATTACTTTGGCATCAGCCCCAGGATAAAACAGTTTACTAGCACTAACAGTGGACGATGATAACTTGTCCGCATCAAGAAACCTGAACATAGAGCTGCTTATGAATAGGACAGACTTTTGTGAAGCTTTAGCTGACTGTTTGCAAACTGAGAGTGCAGGTGAAGAAGAGTCTGTCAGTTTGTGTCCTGAATGAGGGATGGGTGGGGGCGGTGAACGCAGACCAAACTCAGTTGACTGAGTGATCCTAGGGGGCTTCATCAGTCTTAGGGTGATGCTGATCCGGGGTTCATCACACATTTCGTCTGGCAGTATCTCATGTTGAAAGTCAGCCTGAGACAATTTGGACATGATGAAGACATCTCCATGCTGAAGCTGCACAGAGCCCACAACTTCATTGCTGCCGTTTGATCTAATTTGCAGTGTTCTCGTCGCACCAAGTGAAATGGTTACAATATCAGAGTGTTCTACAATACATGATTCAGAATCGCTATGAGCTGGCATGAACTCTGCTCCAGTTTCATATAGATTGACGAGAATACTATTGTGTCTGAAATTGGGTAATATCACATTAATGTAGGAGCTGAGTTTAGCAAGGTAGGAATCATTGTGTACACTTTTTGGGTCATGTGTTGCACCTGAATACTCATAGGGAAAGTCACCAAAATAAACCGATTTCCTGTTTTTAAAACCGTGACTGAACTCAAGTTCTTCCATTAATAGATCAAGTGAAAATTTAGAGAATGGACCATCATCTAGTAGGGTAACTGGTTTCACTGGTGATGGGGAACAAGTTACAGATATATTCATTGGCCCCGGTGTTATAGGATCGTAGACAGGGGCAGGGACCAAGTTTGGATATTTGTCTCTGGGCTTAGGGGTGTTGATCCGTGATTCACCAGTAGCAGTAGATACAGGGAGATCAGACACATCATCCTTGTCTGCCATAACCTCGTTAACAACAATCTCACTGATAACAATCTCGTTTCCAACAACCTCCTGTGGAACAACCTTGTCCACGACATCGTTGTTAACAAACAAACTGTCCGATACAACATCTTCCACAACAATGTCATCTACATCAAACGCTTCTACTTGATTGATAACAACGTGTGACTGAGGGGTAATGGTTATGATCTCACATTCAATCTCCTCTGATAAGTTTGGCAGCAAATTTTCACACTTAAAACTCTGTTGTTGTATTTGAGTTTGATCTGATATGAGACTATCATTGTACTGAGCAATGAGATCACTAGTTCTGATAATTTCATTCAATAAAGACAACTTTTTTCTAAAAAGTCAATCTTGATGTCTTTTGACAGACAATTGTTACAGTTCTCTGATTTTTCAGACTGGAATGAAAAGTTCAAATGTTCTAAAGGGCGCTCACAAGAGTGGAGACTAATGTCTGAGCTCTGATTATTCGACATAGTTATATTATCAAGAGTTCAATGTTCAGAAGCACAATAAACACTGTAAACGCAATACCTTCAGTCCAGATAGTAGTTTTGATGAGAATAGTTTTGATGAGAAGGAGGAGGATGAGTAATCTTTAAGTACACTCACAGCAGTCCTTTGCACGTCAACACTTACGCTCGTCTATCATATCTCATACCTCAATAAATGTATTTAATTGTAGTTGTGAAAATAGTTTAGAACTCTGATGATTGAGGAGGAAGAGGAGGAGGATGAAGAGGAGGAGGAGGACCCAGGAGGAGGACTGAGGAGGAGGTGGAAGAGGAGGAAGAGGAGGAGGAGGAGGATGAGGAGGAGGAGGAGGAGGAGGAGGAGGAGGAGGAGGAGGAGGAGGAGGAGGAGGAAGAGGAGGAGGAAGAGGAGGAGGAGTCTCCAAAAGCTGTGTCTCCAATGTCTCCAATGCCCTTTAATATCCATTTTATGTCCCTAATGTCCCCAATGTCCCCAATGTCCCCAATGTCTCCAATGTCTCCAAAAGCTGTGTCTCCAATGTCCCCAATATCTCCAATGTCTCCAAAAGCTGTGTCTCCAATGTCTCCAATGTCTCCAATGTCTTTGTCTTTTTCGAAAAGATAAGGTGCGGGAGACATTGGAGACATGTCACCCCCCCCCCCCCCCCCTTTATAGCAAGAATCTTAAAACTAAAGGGGATGACAATATAGTATAGCTTATGGGTAAGAATGGAAAATTGAGGGCTAGGTTAGGATTTGAAAGGTTTCTTGGCACTAAATAAAGTCCCTTGATGGCTGCTACAACTTTAGATCTCACTTCTTGACCTCCCTCCAAAGTCATAACTTGAACTGCGTAAAGTACAGATTTATGTGCATCAATATGATGATCTTCAAGGTTCGTTTTCCCTTGGTCTGTCATCAGAGTTTCCGAATCTAAGAATGTTTGGAGCAGGATTCTTAATGTACCATCATCAATTAATCTAAGCATTGATTCTTTACTAACGATAGCAAAGACAGAAGAAATGATGAGCAGCTGAGTTAGACTTACTCTCAAGTCACTGGATGGGAGTGTATTACATTTCATTTTACACACCATATATTCTAAAATGTTATCCAACTTCTGGTGAGTTGAATGTGATATCTTACTTCTACAAGGAGCATGTGTGACAAACATAGTAAAAAAAGTCTAGTATTTAGCTCTCCTCATCCAGTTGGATGGATGTCAACTGCATGGATGATTCTGTCAACAGATTCATTGTTCAGTACTGTCATCCTTAGTTCAAATGGTAGATGCTGTGAAACCAAAAACTGTATTAATTGTAAACAATATGCTATCAATTGAGTTCTTATTGGATAGGCATATTGGAATTTGGACCATAGGCTTGTTCATCAAATCAAGGGTAGTGGGAACAATTGGCAAAATGTCCATGGGATTCACAAGTTCTTCTTTCATCCAACACAGTAAATTTGTGCTCTTATATACAATCTCTTCTTCGATGCAATGAGTGGACACATTTTTTCTAAAGAAGGCTTGGGATGAACATTTATCATGAGAATAACATCAACAATACCCTCTTTCATCATCCAACGTTTAATTTTTTGTTTGTCCTCATCATTGTATAGGTGTGTAAAACGTTGGATCAGTTGCATTAAAGTCAAAACATGCAGCAAACTTCTTGAATTATTAAGGATTCCTTCAGACAAAGCTAAGCTGTAATGTGTTATAAGCATAATTTCCTTTACCTTATCATCATGTTTCTTTGCAAATGAGCAAATGTTTACCATGAACAAGATCTGTAGAATTCTCTCATACATCAATTCATTCACCATAGCTCCGAAATAAATAAATTGCTCTACATAGAAACATCTGGCCTGATCCTATCACATTGTGGTCCCCAGGGGTTCGGTAAAGCCCTTACAGGCAACTGGGTCCTTTTACCAGCCACAATAAAATTGGTCATGCCAGTACTGTCATAAACTGTAACCAACTATTTAAAAATTAGATATCTTTTGCTAAATTTTAAAGTTTAAGTCATAGAGCAATCTTCTTAATTTTAAAATTTTTAAGAATTATATTTTACCCTAACTATGATGTGGTGGCATTTCATACTTAACTAAATTTCAACTTTGAAAGTAAATAGATTATTAGTGACAACAAAATTATAGTTTAAGACATCCATTCTGCATTGTGTTTCCAATATTAGAATTTATGATATGTATTGATTGAATAATTGGTAATAAATTTAACTTTTGTTTTATTAAACTTTTGTTTTATTCATCATCCAGAAAACACGCCACAAGGACCATTGCCAGCTCCAACTTCTCATTCACCAGCCAGTGGTAAGTGTGTTCAGAATATACCAGTGTTGCAAAGTAAAAATTGTGTATTTCTTGTACATTTTTTAGTGTAAATTAATCTATTAATTTATCACTTGTACACATAAGTAAGTAAGTAAGTAAGTAAAGATTATGACATAACATCATCACAAGTGTCTACAAAATATCATTGCACTAAATAGAAAAAAAATTAAAATAAATATATTTTTCCATCAACATTAATAATTTATCAAATTTAATTTTATTAATTAATAAAATCTAATACATTATATATATATATATATAAATAATTCATTAAAACTTCCCAGTGGAATAAAGATTTACAAAACACTTCTTTGCACAAAAGGATGAAACCAAAGATATTAATTATGTCTCTCCTTATTGCTTAAATAACTGGGTCCTTCAATTTTCCCTAAAACTTCATTTGAAACATTCCAAAAGTAAAAATCATTTACACTTGCACTGTTTTGAGAAATCATTTCTTTCTTAAATCCTTTCAATCTAACTTTAAAGCTTAAAACTGTCGAGCAGTTCTTGATATCTGGAGGGAGTTTGTTTCAATAAGGAATGACTCGCTCCAGAAGAAAAGAAGACTGGAGATTCCTAACTTCAGTTACACTCTTACTTCATCTATTGGTTGAAACAAGATTAAGACCAGATCTGCTCATTCTGAACAAACCTGATCCATATTCAGTCAAACCACTAGTTTCTTTAAAAGCTTCGATAAGGTCCCCATGTACTCGCCGCTCTGCCAGCGTTGTCAAATTGAGGATATCCAGTCTATGGCTGTATGGAAGAGTACCCACCTCATCAATAAGTCGGGTAAACCGCCTCTGGACGCTCTTTAGCTCCAAAACAGTCCCTAAACTTCCATGAGCTGCAACTGGATTCCACAATTGGACACAATACTCAAAATGAGGTCTTATCAAAGCTTTATAAATAGCTATCATTACAACCTGTTCTCTAATAACTAAATTCCTTACAATCCAGCAGATCATACGATTTGCTTTAGAAATAAAATTATTCAAACAATATACACATAATATAACAATGACCCTATATAAAATCTATCCTTTAAGAATTAAAAAAGTTTCCTAATCAATCAAAAATTACCCTTGGCCTTGTGGCTCCAAGTTAAGATCTAGACTGTTTATATCAACAATGTTTTTTCTTGCACCTCTGTCTCCACGGAGAGAAATCACTGTTGTTCTTAGGATTTCAAAGCGAAGGCGCTTTCTAATGTATCCTACAGCATCCGAGTACCTCTGGCCAGTGTGGTACTCCATCTTACTGGCCAGCTTCTTAAGCGTCTTTCAGCTTCACCACCCATTCCACCAGAAGTCGAGAAAACTAAAGGAGTGAAGCTTCCTTTCTCCACTTCAAGAACCCTTGCGTTGTAACATCGCTTTTTCTCATTTTCATGGGACTGGTACATCGCTGGGATCGATTTGCTTGCATTGGAGGGGCTGGGGCATGAAATACCCTTACGTCAACAAAAAGCCCTCTCTGAAGAATTCCGAATCGATCTTGCAGAAATGTCCAGCCTAGCTTGGTCTCCTAGGACTGTTCCCTTTGGTAACTCTAGACCATCAACTGGAAGAAGAACTGGCTCAGTCTGCACATCCTTGCATTTCACAGTTCTCATTAGTTCTGCAAAGGTGTCTCTCAGCGAATTGTGTCGCAGTGACACATATCCACCGAGTTTGCAGATGAGCGCATGGTTTGCTGAGTATTTCTGGCCACACGTACATGTCTTAGGGCAGTCCTTTAAGTTCAGGTTGAGAAAAGTGTGTCAAACAGAATATGTACATTCAATTAAATCAAGTGTTGCAATTGGCAGAGCACAATTCATTGCTACCAATAATTTTTTCAAAAACATTTTAACAAAACACATGATCTACTCCATTATAGGGGCAGGGATGAGGTTGTATGAAACTTCTGATAGCTGAATCTCACGTTTGGTGTCCACCTTCTTTCCTCGGTACCCTCGTAAAGCAATAAGAGTTGTTCTCAACATTGCAAATCTTATCCTAGTTCTCACGTGTCTTACTACATCGCAGTACCTTTCCTTCCTTTTTCTTGCAATGAGGTCTGCTACTCTGTTGACGAACTGCTTACACTCTTTAGACATTCCTCCAGATGTGAGGAATACAGCCGGGGTGAAGGTAGCCTTCTCCACATTCAACACTCTCTCCAAGTACTCGTCCTTCTTCTCCTTCTCGTCACAGGTCACCTGTTATAGTCTTGGGGTTGAGGCAGTCACCCTCATTTACCTTCTGTAGCTGGGGTTCAACTTTTACATCATGACATACCTCACGAAGGAGATTTGCCATTGTGTCTCTGATGTTGTTGTGGGTCATTATCACGTAGCCCCCTAGCTTACAGGTGAGAAGGTGGTCAAGATCACTTGTTTTCCCACATCCACAGGTGATGGGAGTGTTTGGTATCCACCAACTGTAGCGTAAGCAGACACTGTCTCGAAACTCCTCTTTGTTCAGAGTGTAGCCATACTGCTGAAGTGGCAATGTGTTAAGCCAACTGGACGCTCCCTTTTCTCTTGCTGCTAGTAATGCTCTCTTAGAGGAGGTGCCACATCTTTCAGCTATAGCAATAAACTTGGCTTGGAGCTCGGAATTCTTCAATGTTTTGATCATTTCTTTCCCCGATTTGGTGAGGGTACTGGATGCAGTGTAAACTTCCTGTTGGTCCACTATTGCTTTTGTTCAATAAAACAAGATCCCAATCCTCCCAATCTTATTGGTAGACTTAACACGTCTCTTTCTAAGTCTGAGATCTCCCTGCCCAGCATCTTTGGCAGGAGCTTTTGTCTTATCTCATGTTCTAGCGGCTCCATGGCTTCAGAGATGTGGGGCACAGTCCTTTGAACAAACTTCCA